TTGCTTTTGGTTTTTGCTCAATTTAATTTTTGTAATTTTCAAACAACACAATTGAAAAAAGTTAGGAATTGAAATTGTAAATATGTTTCATAATTCAATGCCCTGCAAACCAAAGTTCCCGAAATATTGGCGAAATCTTTAGGAGTTTCTCATTTCTGTAACGATTTTTTTACGAATCTTCAAGGAAAATTGTATGAAGTGGTTAACACGAACTCGTTCAGATATTTCTGTATGAAAAAGAAAAAAAATCTGAAAAAATTCTGCAAGAAATTCTTCACATTGCAGCATTATTTTCATTGTTTTACCGATTTTCTTCCGAAATTTCATAGAAAAATCGAAAATTTAGAAAATTCGGCAAAAAATCGGATGAGATCTTTACGAATTCTTTAAAATTTATCTACAGTTCAGAATACTCCGAAAAAATGGTTTGCAGGGTGTTCGTTTAAAAAATACATAACTACATATGCATGGTGCTTGAAAATATCCTTTTTCCCTTGCAAATCGTGAAGTCCTGCAACAGGCTTGATGATGTTTTGTAATTGGGGAAGATAAGATTCGTTATTTTAAGTGTTGCGAATACAACTTACCACTTAAATTTAAGACATTGAAAATAAAAATCATTAAAATCGACCCAGTATTTTAAGACTTTTCGGATTAGAATCTTTCAATTTTATATAACACAGTCCAACATACAAATTTTCTCCGAGAAAAGGCTGGCAGCCATTTCTAATAGATTTTGGGTAGCCGAATTTGTAAAAAGGGAGACTTATATGTACATATACTTGAATTTTAAGAAAATAAGGCCAAATCAAAAACCGGCTAAGAAATCGGCTGCCGGCTGAACCGAATTTTCTCCGGCTGTTTGCTATCGCAACCGGCAAAATCTAGCCGGAAAACGGCTAAACTGGCAATACTGAATAGAACGATGAATCCGCACTTAAAGGTAGAATTTTTCGAAAATTCTGGTGCCAAATTCCCTTGACAAAGTATTAAATATAAATAATTTAGAAAATCTTTTTTTTTTTACTGTAAATTTTTATCGAGTACAGAGGATTCTAAAGTTAAGATAAATTCAATGGCGTGTATTCATAGTCCAGCAACTAAGTCGAAACTAACAAAGTTGCAACTTAAATTTAAGTACCAACTTAAAATTTACCTCTATTCATAGTCGCATTTCAGACTTCTACTAAGTAGTTTCGACTTAGTTTAGGATATTAGCAAAACGAGTGTTAAAATGTATCGATTTTTCTTTACGATATTTTGGAAAAATTACATTTTTATTAAATAATGTCAAGTTTGATCATCCGTTTATGTAATTTTTATTTTCATTGCATGATTATGCAAAATAATAAAGTATCATTTTTTTGTTAATTGTGTGAAATAGCCAGAACAACCGCAGTGATGTGAAGTCGATGTTTATCGAAAGCATGCTGTGAAACATACAAATAGTAGATATCAAAATGTTCTGCACAAATTTACTTTAAAAGAACTAGCGTGAAACTGACTTATTATTTGAGAATTTATCTAAATTATTCCAATTATAAAATTGTGATGTAGCTTTATTCGAATTGTAATACGCATTTGATTTCATCTTCCGATTAAAATGGATCGATCTTTGTAAATTTTAATTGGAGATTATTCAATATTATCAAAATCACCCTCTACCAACTTAATTTTTTACATATTTCGTCTGTTTTCCCTTAATTTGATAAAATACTTCTTCCTAGTTACGACTTAGTTGCAGCTCCAGCCGAAACAAAATTTTAAGTTGGTACTTAGCCAGAAAAGTCGAAACTAAGGCGACTATGAATAGCTTTAGTTGTGACTTAGAATAGTTTCGACTTAGTTGAGTACTAAATATGACTATGAATATGCGCCAATACCTTTCATGAAGAAGAAATGGTAAAATAACTTTCCTCTGATCTTTGTAATTATAAGAAGAGGTAGACCTATAACTTTTTTACCAAAGTGACCAGGACGAGGATCTAAGTAATTTTAGCCATGCCCGTCAGTCCTTTCGTCCGTTTCTTTCGGCCCAAATGGTCCCTCCGTTTTAGAGATATCTGGCACAAATTCGGTAGACAGATGTGTTTTTATAATGGATTAATCGGAACCGACAAAATCAGACCACTATAACATATTGTTCCCATGCAACTGATTGTACAGATATGAGATTTGCTTCTTTATAACTATTCATTTAGACAGCTAGAACAGTGAAAACTTCTGGGCTGTTTGCTTAACAATGATAAATTATCATCTATGTACTAAGAATATCGTCGAGATCGTTACTGTATAAGCAAAATTTTTTTATATTCATATTAGGTATGAAGCCTTCGGCAAAACGAACAAAAAAATTGATTGCTTCGAATAGTGTATTTTAGTTTTTGTGTGGAAGTGTGAACACCTGCCTAGTTATCTGATTATCTGGATTAATTTTCAACGTTTAAATCAAACTAGCATGGCTATCAGCGTTGCCACAGACAATTTTTTTCCCTATCAAAATTTCCTACCATAACCAAGCAAAACCTACCAAACATATTTTTGTGTTTTAATATTTTTTTCAAGGTCAAGTTTATTAAAAATGTAGACAACTTAACATTTCTTCTTCTTTTTTGGCGCTGTAACCGCCTATGCGATTTTGGCCGAGTTCAGCAAAGCATGCCAGTCGTTTCTCCTCTGTGCCAACTGACGCCAATTAGAAACGCCAAGTGAAGCCAAGTCCTTCTCCACCTGATTTTTCCATCGCAGTTGGGGCCTCCCTCTTCCTCTGCTACCGCCAGCGGGTTCCGAATTGAATACTTTCAGAGCTGGAGCGTCGGTGTCCATTCGAACGGATTGACCTAGCCAGCGGAGCCGCTGTATTTTAATTTGCTGCACTATGTCCATATCGTTGTAAAGCTCATACAGCTCATCGTTCCATCGTCTGCGGTACTCACCGTCGCCAACGCGTAAAGGCCCGTAAATCTTCCGCAAAATCTTTCTCTCAACTTAACATTTAGTAAAACTAAAACACAGCTAGTGCAATAAAGACAAATTAACTGCGTATAACGATTCATTTTACTGTACAGACTTATCCAAATGAATGTCTCTTTCCACATACGTACATATCGTCACTAGATATGAATAAAGACGCGAGCTCAAAAGTTGACAGCGAAAAAAGACGCGTAAAAAAATTTCGGCGAAGAAAGACCCTTAACATAGGTGACGGCAAAGAAAGACGCATAAACTTATTTTCGCGTTCAACTATGTTTATGAGTGTAACAGTATACGAATTCCCCAAAGAGTTTTTCCGGAATGATGTTGAATCCATGTTTACGCGTCTTTTTTCGCATTTTTTTCACGCGTCCTTTTTCGCCGTCAAATCACCCGAGCGTCTTTATTCATGTCTAGTGACGATATTATTATTATTACGTCGGAGATACCCGCGCTGCGACCTAAGAAGATATATTGTGCTAAATCCTTATTAGGCATGTTTTATTCAACCATCACAAGCAAATAGCTAAATCTTGGTCAAATAAAACGAAATTAGCTTATTTCCTATGTTAGTCTAATTTTGACAGTTGTTTGACTGCAAATAGTGTCAAAGTAAGTTTTTGCCTCTTTCTGATTGGCTGAAGGAGAAAATTTCTGATGCTGAATGGCAATGCCTCTTGTTCAATATACAAGCCAAGATAGCTTTTCATAAGCCAATATAATTATGTGGGGTCAGTCCTCCATACAAAATAAGCTAATAGCTTAAATTTCTGGACAAATAAAACACGGCTATTGTAGTCACTTCAACCTTAGGCTATTTAAAAAGCGCAGCACTTTGGATGATCCCATGTTCCAAATTTTAGATGAAGAAGACAATCGTTCTCCAATGTATATCAATCTACGTTTCATGCTTCGTGGACATATACTCTGGGGCTTCCTTCACCAGTCCACAAAACCTACAGTCCGTCTCTACAGAGAGACCCTTTAATTCAAACGGTACGTTAACTTGCAGTGTGCTATCAGGTAGCCAGTAAGAGTTCTAAGTTCAAGGTGTCTTTCGGAGTTCTCCCTGGAAAGAGTTATGCATCTCTTTGATTTTCTTATTCCTTTTGACTTTCGCCAGTGGGCAGCAATTTGAGATTATTCCCAGCTAGCTCCTAAGTTGGTCTGTAGTGTATCATTTGGATGTCCCGCAGAAAGGCTGGGGACCATGCAAACGCATTTGGGCTCCACGCTTTGCACGTTTTGGCCTTCAAACCCTTCATGTCCTTGAACCTTCCACAGTGTTACGCTGTTGTGGGCTCCCAGGTGGTTCAAGAGTTCACAAGCCTTGATGCCGATTTAAAAGACTCTAAGGCTTTTAGCGCTGCCTGAATATCTGACATAATATTTATTCTGACCTCATTTTCCTTCTACGATGACATTCACGAACACAGACTTCGATTGCGAAAACCTCCGCCTGGAATATGGTTGGGTACGATCGCATTGGCAGACTTTTCTGGAATCTTGGTCCAAGTACTATACTTTATGATATATGGATGGCCGTATTGTATATTGGTACAAATAAATATACTTAGGAATCAGGTATATTTACATGTTTGCGGCCGCCGTTGTACAAACGCACCGGTGAAATATTCGTGTAAAAAAGGTCGCTGAAATGTTTGCGAGATACATATTTTCTATTTTTCGCAAATAACTATTACTCATTGTCTCAAAACCTACCAAAATCCAATCAAGCCTACCAACCTACCAAATGAGAAAAAACCTACCAGCTTTGGTAGGAAAAGCACATGTGTGGCAACACTGATGGCTGTATATATATTTCATGGACGCTCTAGTATGCATGCATTTGTATATACATACAAACATACATATGCATGCCGTTATTCTATATAATTTCGCAGTTATTTTAATTTCTTTTTTGTTTTAAACGCACAGAAATGCATTTCACATGTATGTATGCATGCAACTCTAAAATGTTCATGCTTACACACATAAATATGTGATTATAAGTTCCCAATACTTACGAGTACATAACTGCAGTGTGTGCAAATGAAAGCTGTGAAGATAGTGGCAAAAATTCCAAGCACAATGCCTGAGTACATGAAGGCGATGGGCATAGACAGGATGCCAGTACCCAAAGAAGCCTTCAGCAGATGCGTGAGCGTTTCGTTATCACTATAAAAATACATATAAAGTAAATAGAAACAGTTAATTACGATACGTGGGGTATAAACCTAAAAAGCTATGGCACTCACGTTGTAGGATGCTCCACCTTGCGTTCTGCGAAAGGATCGAAGTCTGGAGACGACAGCGCCTGTTCAACATCTTTACGCGGTTGGATTTTGTATCTGGAAATGATGAAACATTAAAACATTACATATTTTTAAATTTATTTTAAATATTATTTTATTATTTTATTTATAGAGAAAAACACTTGCATACATACATACATTGTCATACATTTTTCAATTTATAAACCTTTTTTAAAGCTACTTTATTTTTTATGAATAAGGCTATTAACATTAGGTTAAACTTTAGCAGATAAAGCACTGCCCGCACCTCAGTTCGAGCGTTGGTACTTCCACTTTCTTTGCGCCACTCATATTTTCTACCAAATAGATTAAATTTAAGATTATTTTTTCTCACAAGCGATTCAGTTTTATAAAATTATATCGGTCAACTCCTTGGTTGGTTATGCGCTTCTTTTTCTGTCAGTTGTAACTGCCGCTGTTCCGTTCCATACACAAAGTGTTGCTACCAATCGCGTCCCAATCAATCACTCGAATGTAACTAAACAAGCAAAGTAAAAAACATGGTGCTGTCTGCAATTGTTTTATAGTGAAATTATATAGCTGCAATTTGTGGGCTTTGTCGTCTTGCTTGGTGGTGCTTTTGCGGCTGCGGCTTCAAGAAATGTGCAACATCTGCAAAAAAAATCGCGCTAATGACGCTTAACTGCCGGCTGCCGTCGAATTGCATTACCCACTGCAATTGCTGGATGTCGACGGCGTTGGCGTAACTACTGTGGCGGTAGCTCGGCCATTCGCTTCAGCTCGAATTCAATATGGTCAAATACCATAGATGAGCAAAATGATACCATTGCATGCATTCATACTTACATACTTGCATACATACATCTGGACTGACTAAGTGACGCTCTGGAAAGTGAATTCCATTGCAACAACAAGGAAAATACAAAGAAACATAAAACGTACACCTCTGCTGTAGAAGAAAACATACAGTGCTCTCTCGTTTTTTATAAATTTTATTTATTTAATTTTATCGGCGAACTCGCAATAAACAAATCGAATTTTGGGGAGAATACTATGTTTGATTTATATAGGTACATACATAGTTATATACATACACCCCGCGACAAAAGATAGCTCATCAACATTTTTACCAGTTTTGACTACGTTTCTTTTGCTTTTTTTAAGGTTCATTATTTTGATATAAAACAAGTAAGAAAGTCTAAGTTCGGGCGGAGCCGAACATTAAATACCCGGCGCAAGTATTAAATATATGTTTTCCACCTTTCCGAAAGCTACCGCTACATGATAAGGGAGTGTATAAATATTAAGTAAACTAGCATCCTTAAATTTCGAAATATTGAAATTTCAAGCATTTCTGAAATTTACCGTTATATGAAAAGCGGCCGTAATTTTAGTCCGATTTCAATAATTTTCAGCGGTTTGCTTTTATGTGGCAAGCACAATAAAAATACCGAGTTTGGTACAAATTGCTAGAACTGTTACCGATATACATAAATGTGATCATAATTGGGCGGTGCCACGCCCATTTTCCAAACTTTTATCATAAGCGTATTTCCTGATAAAGAATTGTTGCAACCGTCAATTTTGAATAAATTAGCTTTAATATTTACTGATTTATCGAGGATTTCGTATTTCTCGAAATTACCGTTATATGGGATGTGGGCGTGGTTATTGTCCGATTTTAAAAATTTTCGGCCATTTGGAATGCTGTACCAAGGTCAACAACTGTGCCAAGTTTGGAAGAAATTGGTGCAGCGGTTTCCAAAATATACACATGTAACTATAAGTGGGCGTGGCTACGCCCATTTTTCAAAAATTTTTAATATTCTTATTTCTCGTCTAAAAGCTATTCTAAATGTCAATTTTGAGTGAATTATCTTCAGTAGTTACTAAAATATCGCAGTTTTCGTATTTCTGAAAATTACCGTTATATGGGAGGTAGGCGTGGTTATTGTCCGATTTCGCCCATTTTCAATACCATCCGTCCCACGCCCAATAGAAGTGCATGTACGAAGTTTCGTTAAGGTATCTCAATTTTTACTCGAGTTATCGTGTGCACAGACGGACGGACGGACGGACGGACGGACGGACGGACGGACGGACGGACGGACAGACAGTCACCGCTTAATCGATTTCTCTTTTCATTCTGATCATTTATGTATACATTTGTCTATATCTATCTCGATTCGTTTTGCCTGTTACAAACAACCGTTATGTGAACAAAGTTATAATACCCTTGTGCACAAGTGCGCTCGGGTATAAACATAGCTCTTTATCTAACAAATACCACATAAATCTAAATTTCAGACTTTGTACAAAAATTATAAAAATTCCACAAACTTTTAATCCCAATTCCAAGCATTTTAATTTTAATTTCTAGAATAATTTTTGGTATGCAGTTTTATAGCTTATTCTAGTATAATAAAGTGCAAGTTTGAAGTTGCTAAAAAATCGCGTTGCTTTTTGATAATTTTTTTCTTCCATATAAAAAATTACTTCAATGTAAAAAGAAAAGTAGTCAAAACTGGTCAAATGTTGGTGTGCTATCTTTTGTCCCGGGGGTATGTATATAAGTAGATATGGATATGCATTTCCAATCCTTTAAGCGTTCGCTTTCTTTGAGCAGCAAATAATTCGCTGGCTTCACTGAAAGCAAGATTTTCTCGTATCTTTCAACTTCATAAGCCTGCAGCCGATGGTTTCAAAGATCTTTTACCACTCAATTTTCTGTTTGTATTACTAAGAGTATCTTACAAGATGGAAATAATACATATGTATATACCTATAACCTGCTACTTTGGACTGAGTCGGCAATTTAGAAGTAAAGTCCTCTCCCGTCGTACAAAGATAACACTCTATAAGTCACTCATCATGCCTGTGCTGGTGTATGGTGCGGAGGCATGGACAATGAAAACATCCGATGAAGCGGCTCTTGGAGTTTTCGAGAGAATGCTTCTGCGAAAGATTTACGGGCCTTTACGCGTTGGCGAGGGCGAATACCGCAGACGATTTAACGATGAGCTGTATGAGCTTTACAACGATATAGACATAGTGCAGCGAAATAAAATTCAGCGGCTCCGCTGGCTTGGCCATGTCGTTCGAATGGACAGAAACGCTCCTGCTCTGAAAGTATTCAACGCGGGTCGCGATGCTGGTAACAGCGGAAGAGGAAGGCCTCCTCTGCGTTGGAAAGACCACGTGGAGAAGGACTTCTCTTCACTTGGCATTTCCAATTGGCGTCAGCTAGCACATAAGAGAAATGACTGGCGCACTGTTATGAACTCTGCCAAAATCGCTTGGGCGATTACAGCGCCAATAAAGAAGAAGACATATCTATAACCAATCAATTACACATACATGAATCTAACATTTCCAGTTACAATTAGTTTGCATAAGCGAGTGGCTACTGTGCTGTTCGTTTATTAGTCTTACTTGATGCACTACTCGAATTGCATCAGATGCATCGCATCATCCAGCTAAGCGGTCGAATCAGTATAAAACTATTATTTTCTGGCTATTTATGGGTCAGTTAAAAATGTGATTGTCTGCGTCTTTGGGAGATAATGTGTTTAATGTTGCCAAATAATTGATAAAACTAAGAATACTTTTAGGAGCGCCGCCAAAATAACAATCGTGGCATAAAAGAAAAGACAACCAAAAAATATTGAGTACAAATTCCTAACACCCAGGGGCTGGATTCTGTAACTGGGAGATTTCAAGTCTCCATTGGAGTGTCAAGAAGTGTGAGAATAAGTTTTAACACTTCCTCATTTTGCGATCAGGCCTGCTCATACCGTGCCATCTTTGGCCCGAGCGCACTTGTGCACAAGGGTATTATAACTTTGTTCACATATCGGTTGTTTGTAGCAGCCTAAACGAATCGGGATAGATATATGTAGACAAATGTATACATAAATGATCAGAATGAAAAGCGAAGTCGATTAAGCCATGTCTGTCTGTCCGTCCGTCCGTGTACACGACAACTTGAGCAAAAATTGAGATATCTCAATGAAATTTGGTATGTAGATTGCCCTTTACACAGGGTAGGTTGGTATTGAAAACCACGCGCACTTCCCATATAACGTTAGTTTTCAGAAATACGAAAACTGCGATATTTTAGTAACTACTGAAGCTTATTCACTGAAAATTGATATTTACAATGATTTTTAGACATAAAATAAGAATATTATAAATGTTTTGAAAATAGGCGTCGCCACGCCCACTTATGATTACATGTGTAAATCTTGGTAGCCGCTACACCAATTTCTCCCAAACTTGGCACAGTTGTTAGCCTTGGTACAACATCCCAAATGGCTGAAAATTTTTAAAATCGAACAATAACCACTCCCAAATCCCATATAACGGTAATTTAGAGATATACGAAATCTTCAATAAATCAGTAAATATAGAAGCTAATTTTTTCAAAAGTGATGTTTGCAATAACTCTTTAACAAAAAACACGTTTATGATAAAATTTTGGAAAATGGGCGTTGCACCGCCCACTTATGACCAGGTATGTATATCTCGGTAACCGTTCGATCATTTGTACCAAACTTGGTACGATTATTTCGCACACCACATAAAAGCAAAACGTTAAAAACTTATTGAAATCGGACTAAAATTACTCCCACTTTTCATATAAAGGTAATATTTCGAAATTTAAGGACACTAATTTACCCAAAATTGATACTGACAACAATCCCTTGAAAATAAGTAACATTATTATGTAATTTTCGAAAGTGGGCGTGATACCGCTCACATCTATACATATAATAAAATTGTAACAAGTCGATGTCTGTACATTATAGATATTAAAGAAAAATTAATGTGGGGGTGTTTATTAGAGCACCAGAAGCCAAATCAACCATTTTTAGAACTTTTGTCTGTCTGTCTGTCTGTATGTTTACACGCGCCTCACTCGAAAACGAATGCATGGATTTGAATGCAGCTTTCACCGATGTATTGCTAGAGGTCTAACTTAAAATATAGAAAGAAAAAAATTAGAGAGTTGCCACCTGTTGAAAATTGCAGTTTAAGTAAATTGATAAGAAAAAGTGAATATTGCAATATGGCCGTCAAAACAATGAGGGTTAAGAAGGCTTAGACCCAAAAATATTTTTTTAGAGTTGCCACCTGTTTGAAAATTTTAATTTAATCTAATTTATAAGATAAATTGAATATTGCAATATGGGTATCAAACCGAAGAGGTTTAGGAAATTTTACTGCCGAAAATATTTTTAGGGAGGGTTGCCACTTTTTGAAAAATTTCATTGTATTAAATTGATAAAATAAATGAATTCTATATCTATACCTATAATAAAATTGTAACAGGCCGATGTCTGTACCTTATAGATATTAAAGGAAAATTAATATGGTGGGTTTTTATTAGAGCTACAGAAGCCAAATAACCAATTTTTAGAATTTTTGACTCAAAAACTAATGTATGGAATAAAATGCAGTTTTCACCGATGTACATATTGCTAGAGCTCTAATTGAAAATATAGGCTGCATTTCTTTATTCATTCTGAACGTTTGGAATAAGCTTTTTTGTTTATTTATTCTTTAGAACGTTCCTGTTGATATGGTGACGTATATTTCAAACGCATTCTGTTTATTCCGGCTGTGAAATGGGATTATCCGGAATGTA